TGTTACAATTACAATTAAACCATATGCGAAAATGTCAAAAGTTGACATATGATATGTCATTCTATTCAGAGAGTCATTTTCTATCGAATAAAGTAGAAATAAAGTAGAAATACCGAGGGTGCCATTTAAAAATTAAAAGTTATAGTCATTTCCGGTGAAACAGGAAGTGACCAAAAACAATTGAATGCGTCAATCAATCCTAATTTATTTCATATACTAACATACTAAATCTTGTTTTTTTTATTTGAAAATATAAAAAAATTATGGGGATGAGCCACTTTTGAGACGCACCCGGTATAATAAAGACAGTACCGAGTTATAAATGTAGTTTTTATTTTATCCACTTCCTATCACCTTCCTTGCTTTAATGGAACAGATTTATGTTTTCTCTAATTTACATAATAAGACATCACTTAACCAGAAAAAAAATTACAACAATCATATTTTTTTTCTCTCCCTGTTGCCGATTCTATTATATCTGTGGAATAGATCCTGTTTTGATTAATATTAGGGGTTGTAAATGTTTGACTAAAATTAATAATTTATTATTAATTTCAAAAATTACCTAATTTCGATGATAAAATTTCTTCTATAACGTGTATTTTATTATTTTTATCCTTTTTGGACTCTAAATTGTTTTTTCTAAACTTTTATTTAAAAAATCTTAATAAAATATAAAAAAGTTTAAATACGATATATTTTTAATTTAATTATAGCTTCATTAAAATAAAAAAATTACCCGGCTATGATACGGAGAGTTCAGGTGTACTTGAGAAACGAAAGACAGTGTTGTGTTTCTCGGCAGAGTCGTCAGGGAACGACCGTTACGACAGACACAACCTATCTATCGCTCGTGTCGCACTCGTTATAACCTAAAACAATAACACAACAATAACAAGACAGTGTCTGACCGCATGTTCCAGCTATTTATGAATGAGATGCTCATCTATATTTTATTTTAAGTCTATGGTGTGCACTATGTGCGCATATTTGAAGTGAAACTTCTATCAGTTATTAAATTGAAGGATTTGAGGGACATTGTTGCGGAAGTGTAGTTTGAAATGTTGAAAAAGTAGAAAATGGAAATAGTAGATGTTGAGGTAGTACTAAAAAATAATAAATAAGTTGATTCACTTTCACAAAATTTGTATTAAATTGACCGTCTGTCTGTCTGAGGACTCCATTCGAGTATCTCTAGCCACGTGCTGAGTTTGGTTCCAATCGACCCATAATTATGAAAAATTCTGATCATTTAGTTCATTTAGAGGCATCGGTTGGAAACGTCGAGGGCATCATCCTGTAGACCGTCCCCAGTTATGTCGCAATCCACCTACATTTTTCTTCAATAACAAATCCTTCACCCCACCCTGATGAAGATGTAAACGAAACGTCGTATCCAACTTTCCAGGGTGGGAGCGTGTGCACCGTCGCGTCGCTCATATAGCCTACCCACCAAACTTGGTCGTGATCGGACTACATCAACTTTTGACGTTCGTTACGTCAAAACTAACTGTCACAGTGATACGGTCAAGTCGGTCACACGGTCCAGTTGGCCTTGGTTCATTTTATCGACATACCAAATTTTATTTAAATCGGACGATTTTTTCGCTATTGATGATGAGGTTGAAACCTCGTCATCAATAGCAGTGCCCATAGGGCCAGAGTTACGACGCTCCGTCGTAACCTTCAATAGTTACCACTTTTCCTGACGCTAGCTCGTGTGTCACAGCCCTGAATTTTTACTCTCAGCGCGCGTAAAGAAGTTTCACTTCAAAAAAACGTGCTAAAAACAAGTTTTACTAAAGAGATTTGTATATCATTGCATATGTGGCTCACATTGCCATCATACTGTAGCAAGTTCTATATTCAATTTATATTTTTTAGGCCAATCAAATTAGAGGATTGACTTGGAAAAAAGTATTGGAAAGCTTTTTTTTTCTCTGGCAAAATTTTTTCAAAAATGAACCCGCCATGAAGATATAAACATTATCGATATTGTGGCTTACTTCGTATATATTATATAATATTAGCAAAATTTAGTATATAATAATTTTAATGTTAATTACCTAAATATCGCCATTCTTCATCTTTCGATTTTTGCCATACTACTGGACCGAATTGATACTCATTATGCGCAGAATTTAATGGTCTTTAATTTTTGTAATAGTGAAATATTCGCTAGAACGCAACGTTTTAGGAACTATAGATAAAAATCTGAAAAAGTCCAAGAATTTTAGCATATTTTGGTCCTCCTGAGTCGAGCGGCGGTCGAACAACCGTGCAAAACTAGGATACTGATCTCTCATGTCAGCTGAATAGATCAAAACCATAATTAGCTTTCCAACACTTTTTTCCAAGTGACCCCTATAATAGCTCTTATTTGACTGGCCTATTTACTTATTTGGTCGTTTCAAATAAGTATATACAATTTATCAAAAAAAAAATAATAATAATTTTCCGCATAATTGACTAAAAATATACCTGCAAATAAGATAAAATTATCCGCTTAAGATAAACCTACAAATCAAATCAGAAATGGATGCTCACCGAGTACTAAATTATCGCTTAAAGAGTGACGTCTTTGAATGCCAATGAATTGAATTTATATTCAAAAAGAGTTCTCTCAAGATACCATTCATTTTCCTACGTTAAAATTAGGTGAGGGTATTTTTCCTTTAAATCTCAGCGAAAACTCGATTATTCTCAATATTAGAACGACCCAGAGGCTTAGAGTTATTGGTTAAAAATACAGTGTCCATGAACACGCAAATTGGTATGAAATTGAAAATTAAAGATAATAATGAAGTCAATTTTTATGAACAGAATATTAAACATAATAAAGAATTTCTGGATTTCTTTAAGTGCAGATCTAAACTGCGTGTTAGGAGGTATTTTAGGACAATAAGTTCATTTATACAGTGTGTCTCAAAAAGTGAGGAGTGAAGATTTTTTTAAATGAACACACCCTATCAATATTTCTGTGAATGTAGTTGATAATGTTTCTTGAAATGATTTCTAGTTTTTTTGCCACTAATATAAGAAAATCTACAAAATAAAAATGTTTTACTTTGTAAACACCACAGCGTTTGGAGGCCAATTATTCAGTGGTATTTTATTAATAAAACAAATTTGCCTAACGGACAAAAAATACTTAACATTTTAAGTGGTATATCTCCGCGTTATAAGCAAAAGAACAATATCTGCGCCAAGTGTCTGTACAGGGTGGGTCAAATTGGACGCTTTTAAAAGAAAACACCCTTTTCTATAGTAGATAGACGAAAACTAATATCTGTGTCTGGAGCTCAATTTTGATCAAAAACATGATGGTGAAAACCGCACATCAATATCTGTTACCGTTTCGGAGTTACGGGGTGTTTTTCAAAAATGCCCATTTTTAACAAATCGCTGTAACTTTTGTTATGGAAAATTTTGTATTTCTATGAAAACATTTCCAAAGCACCTTTTTACGTAGAATTTAATGCTTTAAGTATATTTTTTTTTAAATTAATAATTTAAGAGTTATCAACAGAAAAATTGATTTTTTATTCGGGACAACCTGTATATTTTTAATTAACTGAAATGAACTTAAAATTACCTTTCCAAAAATATAGCACACTTGATATTTTGTTGTAATCCCCTACGAAATACAGAATTTTTTAAATTTTGCCACTTTTAACTAGTAGGTTTTGGACCCCTTATTGATGATATGCCCTTAATGGAACTCGAAAACATATTCTTCCAGCAAGACGAGGCACCGACTCAGAACGCTGAAGTTATCTGCACATTTTTTGCAGCCAATTTCAAGAATAATTGAATAGCTAACCAAGAACCCAGCCGTTAGCCATCGAGGCCGCCGGACTTAGTGCCTGTGGATCTAATCCTATGGATATATTTGCGGAAGAATAAAGGTTCTTATTTTTAAATTGCCCCATTTAATAATCTAGACAAGAATTAGAAACACTTAGCAGTTATGAGAGGGTATCTTCCACCCCTACTAAGTTAATGAATTCCGCAAGAAATGTTCAAACACGGCCCCGTCTGTCCATAACAGAAGATGGTCGATATGTCGAACACCTGTAGCAACATATCATGCCTTGGTCCTGCATCTCTCATAGCAAATATTATTTTCCATTGAATTGATGCTCACAGCTAGAACTTCTTGCATTACAGCCGGCGCCGCGCCGCGCCGTTCAAAGCCTACTTCTTTAAAGTGGGCGAATTTTTATAAACTTTATATCTCGAAGAGGAATCGAGCAAAATATCAAGTGTACTATATTTTTAGAAAGGTAATTTTAAATTCTTTTCAATAAATTAAAAATATACAAGGTGTCCCATATAAAAAATCAAATTTTCTGTTGATAATTCTTAAATTATTAATTTTTAAAAAATTAATAATTCTACTAAATCTAATCTACTAACCCAAAAAAAGTTTGTGCTTCGAAAAAAAGGTGCTTCGAAAATGTTTTCATAAAAATACAAAATTTTTCGTGGCAAAAAAGTTTTTTGCGATTTGTTAAAAATGCATATTTTTAAAAAACACCCCGTAACTCCGAAACGGTAACAGATATCGATATGCGGTTTTCACCATCATGTTTTTGACAAAAATTGAGCTCCAGACACCAATATTAGTTTTCGTCTATCTCCTATAGAAAAGGGCGTTTCTCTTTAAAAGCGTCCAATTTGGCCCACCCTGTCTACCTCATCACTGAGTGTGTCGAGACGACAACCATAAATTTTGGTACGACTAATAACGGAGATGGAGAACTAAACTCTGTAAAACCGTTTCAGATACTGGCTTTTGTCAAAGCCCTGAGACTATATGATGATATATACAACTCAAGAAAGGACACAATAGATCTATAAGATCCTGATAACATCCCCCCTCACATGCAATCTACAAACTACGTGAGAAATCTCCCCGCAGAGGGGTGGCACATGTTTTTTGGAGACAGAAAAATATTAGGTGGTTTGTATAAAAATGTACAATAAGAAAAACTTACCTTGAATCAATTACTACTGTGGATGCGTTAGATCCAGCCGGTGATAACTGTGGTCCCATAGGTGGAAATGGTAGTAAATCGGGAGGATAAGGATTATTTTGTCGAAAGTCAGGATCCAGCAAAGTGTTGTGAGATTTCCTTAACAAGGGTTGATTAAAGTCTAGAGATCTAGACTCGTCGTCGCATTCTGAAAACGAAAACATTTAAATTAATGGTTGATTGTAGGATACATTATACAGTGTCCGCGTGTGAAATCGTTGCATGTATTAGGAAATACTGGAGTGTATTAGGTGAAATTAGGAATCGCAGTTTTTTGCTAGTCTAAAAATCAAATTTAAAGTATATCGTCATAGTTACAGGACTTGATTTACCTGCGGTTTCTATACGTCCGCATTTACCCGGCAATAAGGGTGGTCCGGTCGGAATTTAAACGCAAATATCTTATTTGGCGCCTATAAGAAAGTGTCAAGTTGATGATGGTAGTAAAAAGACGAAAGGTCGGATAGCAAATCTTAAAACCCTGTTGTCTAACTGGAAAAAAGTGGCAATAAAAATGTATTTTGTGATCCTGAAGGAATACCAGCGGAACTTCTGAAATTATGCGGACCGAAAATTTTGAAAGAAATTCTCGCTTGTATTTTCACTACATATATTAACGGGGAGCCAATACCTGATTCATGGAAAACGTCATGGACAACTCCGATCCACAAAAAAGGAAGGAAAGATATTTGCACTAACTACAGATGTATAGCTGCGTCTGACACTCTTAGCAGACTGTTTGTACGGAAAAATACTTAAAACCCTAATAGAAGATGAATTTAGCCTCCATGAGATTGAAGAACAAGCCGGGTTCAGGGAAGGCCGCTCATGCATTGATAATATCTTTCCAATAGCTCAGATCATTGAGAAAAAGACGGCAACGAATAACGACCAAATTCATCTCCTGTATGTGGACCTTAGTAAGCCTTATGATACGGTACCAATTAAGAAACTATGGGAAGTTCACGAAAAAAGCCCAATAAATATAACACTAGAAGCGGTACAGCAACTTTACTGCAATTTTTCCACAAGAATTAAAATAGGCCCAACTCTATCTGAATTATTCCTAATATCAAAAGGTTTAAAACGGGGTCGTTGTCTGTCCCCAACTTTATTTAAAATCTACCTATCAGAAGCTCTTAAGCACTGGCGCAAGAAGTGCTCTCAGATGGGAATACCTATTAATGACAACCTTTCTCTGTATACTCTGCATTTCGCCGATGACCAGATAGTAATGGCCCAAGACAAAGAAGACCTAGAATACATTTTGTTGTCGACCGAAATAGACTTCTGGCGAAGATCAGCCCACATCTCCCGTTTAGACAGAACTAGGAACGAGAGAATACGTAAAAAAAAGAAAGTGGATTGGTTTGGTGGAAAGCAAGTGTTGCAGTGGACACCAACAGACAGACGTAAACGAGGCCAACCTAAACTATCCTGGAATCAAGGAATCGGCAGAGCCATGTCGGAAAGGAATCTACTACCAGGAGATTGGGACAATAGACGGAGGTGGCGCATGGAGACCGGAGGGCGACGAAGGACGCTGTAAAACCGGACATACATACATACATAAAAATGCACTTTTAGTTTTGGGATGATATATTTTGTCAAATAACGCCAGAAAAAAAATTTGAAATCTTCAATTTTCGGCTTTTCTCGAATATCTCCGAACATGGAATTTTAAATTTTTAAATTCTAAACGGCATATTATTAGGCACATTAATGCACAACTGTGTCCTAATTTAATTATCCTTTATGCTAAAAATACTTAAATCTTTTAGAAGATACTTTTTCTTAAAGACTTAAGTTTTTTTCTATATCGGAATATACAGGGTGGCGCACCTCATTCGCCTCGATACGAAAACGGAAAGATGTAGAAACACCATATTTTATGGGTATATGTAGGGAGACAATGTGCACAATTTAAAATTATTTTGTAATATACTGGGTGTTTCAGAACTAAGATCCATACCAAAGTTATATTTTTTCTTATGGAACGCCCGGTATTTAGAGATATTTAAAGGTTTTTGGGATATTTAAAGACATTTAAATTTGCATGCTACAATAGAATAGATTATTAACACCCTGTACATTACTTTTTAGAACTAATTCTTATGCCGAGTTTAAAGGTAGAGAAATAAACTTTACTGAAAAATGGCATTGCTTCCTTAAATTTATACAGGACTATCAAAAGTTGCTGATCTATTTTATGGATATGTTTTATATAAAATTTTTGTTATTTCAAATACAACACCCTGTATTTTTTAAAATAAATCGAAGCAGATTCAAATGCCATTTCAAACTATATTAGGGTTTCCTATACCTATCTAGCTCAGATTTTGAATAAAATAAAATTGCAATCATGATGGCTGGTGTCGCCATAGCAATTTTCTAGTGACAGTAACTATATCCAAAGTCGACATTAGTTTATGGACATTATTATTTATAATTAATAACAGTTTACTTAAATTTACCTACAATAGTTTAATAAGTAAGTATTCATGATTTTATTAAGAAAAATAAAGCAGTATCTGCTGGCGGAACGAATAGATATGTTACTAGTGATTTTATTTTGTGAGGAAAATTGCTTCTTGGCCTTTCCGTTTTCTGAACAACTGATACCAACTGAGCTATATAGGTATAGGAAACCCTGATATAGTTTGAAAGAGCATTTGAATCTGCTTCGATTTATTTTAAAAAATACAGGGTGTTATATTTGAAATAACGAAGTTTTATGTAAAATCAATTCTTAAAACAGATCAACAATTTTTGATACCCCTGTATAAACTTAAGAAAGCAATAACATTTTTCTGTAAAGCTTAATTCTCTACCTTTAATCTCAGTACAAGAATTAATTCTGAAAAGTAATGCACAGGGTGTTAATAATTTACTCTATTGTAGCATGCAAATTTATCTCAAAAACCAAAGACTTTAAACATATTTAACCCTTCTAATAAATGCCTTTTTTGGGCCGAAGAATCCAAAACAGAAATAAAATACCGGGTGTTCCATAACTGATACTCATACTCATACTGAACAAACAGGATTGGCAACGTCAAAAATGGGCAGGACAAAATTACGGAGAATTACGAATAATCCCAGAATTGCCGAAGAAACACAAACTGACTTTAGTTGTTCTTTTGTTTGTCAAAATTATTAATAAAATATATTAACTTAGGTACTGGCATTTATTATTAAATAATACATAGTATTAAAAAATATATAAAAAGAAAATGTAAAACATACGGATTATCCGAGCTAGGGTATACAGCCCCACATTAGGTCGGATAATCGAGAGTCTACTGTATGGTGAATTTTTGACTTTTAGACAAACCAAAACCACTGTGTTACCTAATTATACCTGTGTTTGATAATACAAAAAAATATTCCCATTAATAATAAATATCAATTAATTAAAAAATAATAGATAATAAATATTAATTAAATATAAATACCACTAAACATAAAATTAGCACAACAAAGACAATGATAACAAACACATAATATGTTCAAAACTATTAGTTCAGTCATTGGGGATTTTTGCTTGGAAAAAAGTCCGGAAGTTTTGCAACTTTGCAGGTTTATAGGTTTTGGGGTCCCTAACTAAAATCCATAAAATGCACATTTCCAGACTTGCCGCCGGTGCCGCCATCTTGCCAAGATGGCGCCTAAAATCGGTATTTTGTGAATATCTCGAAAACTATGCGTTTTTCGCGAAAATTTTAAGAGAGCAAAATTAAAGAGAATAAAATTTCCTATAAAAAAGGTTACATAAAAATTTTCGCTAAAGTCAATCGTTTAGGCACAAAATTCCTGGAAATTTTACAATTTTGCGTAAAATATGATATATTATGTATAGTCAATTTTCCGAAAGCAAATGTCGATTAGGGTTCACTAAAACTAGTTTTAGTTTAGTTTCTTCAATTTTGTCATAAAACAGTGGCGTATCATTAATTCGCTCATTAATTTATGAATAATTAATTTTAATTATTGAAAATGTGTACTTGTTTCCACACCACCCAAGACGTAAAGTATATAGCGCGTTTATTTTAACATGGTCTCCCCGGAGGCCTATTCCACTAGATAAATTAAAAACTTTAACTTATCTGCACAAGCCCGACGGATCTGGCTAATTGATGTCAAAGTCGATCGTGTCTGCTGTACTGGGCTCATCAAGGTGGTCTCTCAATACGTCCAACTCTTCATCTTCAGCCGCCAGAAGGTTAGGTTAGGCAAGCCACAATATCGCGATATCTACAGGCAAGTCCAACTCCTCTTCATCGAATTCGTCGAGTAGCACTTCAGTGACGTTGTCACAGGATTTTCCATTGCAGTATGCACAAATCATTGAACATTTTAATCCTGCTTTTCTGCATCCGCAGGCTTTACCATAGTTGTTGGTTTTGCATTTACAGGATAAAAATGCCAACAGGGATTTTAGAGCTGGATCTTTCAACGTTCTGACTGGAGTAATGCCTGTTTTTGTTTTCTTCCACCCTATTCTTCCGCATCTTTGGTACAACCAGACCAATGCTGAACCTGGTGGTTCGCAATAAATGCTGTCCAGCACGACAATTAATTATTCATAAATTAATGAGCGAATTAATGATACGCCACTGTTTCATGACAAAATTGAAGAAACTAAACTAAAACTAGTTTTGGTGAACCCTAATCGACATTTGATTTCGGAAAATCGACCATACATAATATATCATATTTAACGCAAAATTGTAAAATTTCCAGGGATTTTGTGCTTAAACGGTTGACTTTAGCGAAAATTTTCATAAAAGCTTTTTTATAGAACATTTTATTCTCTTTAATTTTGCTCTCCACAAATTTTCGCGAAAAACGCATAGTTTTCGAGATATTCACAAAATACCGATTTTGGGCGCCATCTTGGCAAGATGGCGGCGCCGGCGGCAAGTCTGCAAATGTGCATTTTATGGATTTTAGTCAGGGACCCCAAAACCCATAAACCTGCAAAGTTTCAAAACTTCCGGACTTTTTTCCAAGCAGGCCCCTTTTTGATCCCCAATGACTGAACTATAATGCATCTTTGTACTTTTAGAATTAAATATTCAGTTCATATTTGAAGATTTGAAGTTCCGACAGCGCGGTACTAAAATTCCCGGTTATGAAAAACAGTTA